TCCTAACGTTTCACCAGCATCTGTGACCGGCATCTTCAGAGAGCAGGAGCACAGACAGGAGAGCCCGGAAGACCCACACCAGCCATCAGAAGTACCTCTTCCTTGAGACAAACACAAGAACTGCAGCAGTTTTGAGAAGGAGATCTGTTTAACCACTTCCAGGGAAAGGTGAAACAGGGTCAGTAAGTGAAACTTACGTGCTTCGGGGCAGCAGCACTTCTCCGGGCAACAAGGACATCGGACATAACAGCAGCAGGTATGGGGGCAGCATTGGCACCAACAGATTCCAAGGAGCAGGAAGACCAGAAAGAAGGCCAGCACAACCAAGACCACAAAGACCCAATCTAGGAAGAAACCATGGGAAGTAGCCCTTAGAGACACAACCAATGAACCCCATTGTATCAAGAGCTACTATGCTTTGTTAACTTCTACCAGGAGCCTAAAAAGATGGGCAAAACAATCCCAGCACCTCACTAACACAGCACTCCGTTAGGCCTTCAGCACAAGTGTTTTTGCTCATAAGTATTGCAATGAGAGAATAACAATCGTCATGGAATTGGTATGACTGCGCTCTCTTAAACTGCAAACTTTACAGCGTACAGCAACCTTCTCCAACCTGGCTTGGCATTATCCTGCAGCCAGGATGATAGCTTAATAGTCTGCTAGCTGGTATCAAAAGGAGTTTTAGTTTTAACTATATGCATTGTGTGCCCTGTTCTGGAAGGCTGCAGAAACACAGATAAGGCTTCAGAGATTCCCCCACTTGAGTCTGCCCAGTGAAGCAAAACCCAAAATAAGGGAGTCCCCATAGGCTTTTAGATAACAGTCCCTATTTATCAAAGGATAGGCAGACTTCTGGAATACTGATCTGTTCAGTTGGCCACGCCATTTCAGGTATAGTTTCTGCATTCCTCTTAATATGCTGATTTTGTTTCACTTGGACTTATCCCCTATGATAGATAACACTGACTCTGAACATTTTCCCCTTCCCCCTCACTATTTGTAGAGTATTGGTGTCAATATGGACCTTACCCTAGTGACAATCCATACTGCATGACAATGTGGAAAATTTCTACCTCTGGGGGATCTGAAAGAGCATTTCCTAACCAGGACCTATCAACCCCAACCTGGGAGACTCTTGACCTCAACTTACACTAAGCAGAAAGGTATTTCAGATGGGTGTAATCCAGTGGGGCCCGAGAACAAGGGCACAGGACTGATGACTATTCCAGGACTCAGAAGTGGCCTTTCCAAATGAGGTGCCCTAGCATACCCCAGCGTGTCATGAACAGTCAGTGCAGGAAGGGGACCAGCACATCCTCACTTGCATGCCCAACATCACAGAAAGACTATGGCTTGCATTTGTAACTCAGCCGAAAACTTCCCAATACAATATCCCTGTGCTAAAGCCCACATTTCTGCAAGAGGGCCAAGGGGCACCTTCTTACAACGCACAGGGAGAACAGAAAAGTCTATGTATTGTAACAGGAGCAAGGTCACAGTAGAAGAGAAAGGCAGGCAGGCAGGCAGGCAGACAGGCAGGCAGGCAGGCGTTTCAGAATCCTTTGCATTCCAAGCACTTCTACTTCTAACTTTGATAAATTCAAGGACAGGAAAAATTAAAATAATAGGAGCGAGGTCAACCCTTTCCCAACCATTTAGAAAGAGAGCATGGAAGAAAAAGGCAGTACCTTCCATATGCCCTATCTGAAAGCCTGGCAAAAGCTCTGAGACACCGGAGGACTTGCCTACAGAACAAAACAAAAAACAGGAAAAAGTTACGAAGGTATCTGGCTGACCCAGAGATAGGCCTTTCTGGGCCAGAGGTATACTGGAGGGGGTCTTCATGGAAGGCATCAACTAAATTGTATCCCAGTACAGTAAAAGCAGCCAGGAGCATTTATAAAGAGTTGGACTGGACACTACAACAAGTTACCAAGGCATTTACAGTAGAGCAATCAGCAAGGACGCTTGACACATTCTGTTTCTCTCTTTTTTGAGCAATACTATACCCATCTTGGCTCCTTCATTTCCTACCTTTGTAATTCCCCAGCCTCCCTTATCATACCCTCTAGATTATTTTTCACTCTATTCCTTATTCCTTGCTCTTTTTCTTTGATGCATTCTTCCTCTTCGTTTGAAGGTTGGGATTACTTTGCCAGCTTTCTGCTATCTGTAAACTTTTTTTAAGGCGCTTTAGAGGGATCATTACAAGCAACAAACCAAAGTGCCTGTGGGCAGATGGACCCACCAGGAGCTTTTAAACACTTTTGCAACTGGCTCCTGCCTGCTTCTTCACAAGCTTTCTCCTTTGCAACTCTTTCATTAGGAAGAAGCCAAAGTTTAAAAGTACAACTGAGCAACAGAGGGATGGACGGACAGGATCCTGCTCAGATAACTGGACACGACTTTACCCTTTCCACCCCAAACACACTTAAACACACCCTGATCTTTAGAGATAGATACCGAAACAAGCACATTAGAATTTCAGCCCAGACTCCAAAACACCCTGATCTTTAGAGATAGATACCGAAACAAGCACATTAGAATTTCAGCCCAGACTCCAAAACACCCTGATCTTTAGAGATAGATACCGAAACAAGCACATTAGAATTTCAGCCCAGACTCCAAAAGTCTCCAACTCAACACCTGAATTACTTCCCAAATACTGAAGGTTTGGGAGTGGAGTTCACTTTTTGCAATCAAAAGATTCAACATCCACCCAAACTTTTAAGGTCAGACAGTTGTCTGGCCTGCCACTACTCCAGTACAGGTAGTCCTCATTCAGCAACCACTCATTCAATGACCATTCAAAGTTATGACAGACAATCATGTGATCGCCATTTGTGATCTTCACTGCTGGCTTCCAACAAGCAAAGTCAATGGGGAAGTTGACAGGAAGTCTCAAAGGGCGATCACTTGACCAGGGGATGCTGCAACCTTGCAGGATTCACCAAATGGTGCCAACTGGAACTGCCATCATAAGTTGGTGCAGTCACGTAACATCATTCTTTATGACTGCATCACTTAGTGACAGAGTTCCCAGTCCCAACTACCATTGTTAACCAAGGACCACCTGTATCTTTCTTTACAAGCAACTGCTCTCATACACCATGGATATCGTAACATTGGGCTTAGTAGATCTACTTGTCATCTACATGTTTCACTGGAACCTTGCATGAAGACCAGTTGTAAAAGAGGCTGAAAAAGCAAACGTCAAAGTGCGGAACCTACACCACTGACGCATGGACAGTCCAGGAATTAGTGGTAGCAGATCCACAATCTGCATATACATCCTTTCATGCATTCACCTCTCTCTCCACAAGTTTCCTTGAGTTCAACAGCCTGACTTAGATGATAAGAAAAACCGTGTCACTGCTGTTCCACACCAAGAGTTAGAAGCTCTTCCCAAGCTAGTACAAATCATTTGGAGAATTCTCAGTAATCCTACCAACCTTCTGACCATCTCTGATGCACAATACAGTCCTCTCAATTATTCAGCTAGTCAATTTGGCTGGCCCATAATGATTATACCCAAGACCGTTTTCTGTTCTTTTCAATACCAGTTTCAAACCTGTATATATAAATGAACTGGCCCCAGGGAAAGCACACAGAAGAATGCACACTTCCTGCAGGAATGGTTTATCCACATAAGCAAGCCATAATTCTTTCAGCCGAGAAGTGATGAGCATTTATATATCCGTTTATCCTTAGCTAAGCTTACAGCTTTCATCTTCCAGATGTGAGGAAGGCTTAAAGGTGACAAGCCGGGTGCTTAAGTAGAGCATTGCTGAGTGCTTCTAAGCCAGGAAAAGCAACGTGCACACACAGACACATACACACCCTTACAGAGCAGAATGTTTGAAAGAAGATTTCCCTTCCTAGATACCAGCGTACATTTTTTTGGAACAATTCATCCTGGCGCAACCAGATACACCATCCGTTGCAGCTCTCAGCAGGGTGTCTGACCAAAAGACAACAGGAAATGACATTCAGTCTACAGAGACTCTACTATCTGAAGGGAAACAGGTCCCCTCACTGCCATTAACATGAAGCCCAACCTCAAGACAACAATGCTGCACTGAGCTGTGCATCAAGGCTGCCCCAAGGCACCCAAGCCTCTGCTTGCTCCATTCCCTCTAGTGGGAAGAACTCACAGAATGCTCCAGGGAGTATGTTGATGTCAACATTACAAATGTGTGGGAAGAAAATCAGGTCAAAAGCCTGAAAACAAGTGGCTTGAAAACGAGGTTTCACCAGCCAGGACTTTAGAAGCTACATAGGGTCATACCAACAGTCCATCAAGCCCAGCATCTGACTTCCCATAGTAGCCAGCTTCAGAGAAGCTTACCAGCAAGGCCTGAAAGCCAATAGCTCTCCCTTTATATCTTCAATACACAGATATACAGCCTTTAAGCACAGAGGTTTCATACAGCTAACATGGTGAGAAGCTATAAATAGCATTTCCACTGATTTTCTGTTTTCTGGATAGATAACAAGCAATCTTCTAGAG